GTAGTGTACACTGTGTGTGTGTAGTGTACACTGTGTGTGTGGTGTATACTGTGCGTGTAGTGTAGTGTATACTGTGTGTAGTGTATACTGTGTGTGTGTAGTGTATACTGGGCGTGTAGTGTATACTGTGTGTGTAGTGTATACTGTGTAGTGTCCTTGAGCGTGGAGCCCCTACTGGCAGCAGACCGATGTCCCAGGTCCCTCCTGCAAATGTAATGAAAGTAGAGTCAACCTGCGGTTTGAGTGGACTAGTGGCCACGGGAGATAATGACAGGGGAGTCAGCCTGCAGTGTGCGAATGGACTAGTGGCCACGGGAGGTAATGACAGGGGAGTCACCTGCAGTGTGCGAATGGACTAGTGGCCACGGGAGGTAATGACAGGGGAGCCACCTGCAGTGTGAATGGACTAGTGGCCACGGGAGGTATGACAGGGGAGACAGCCTGCAGTGCGCGAAAGGACGAGTGCCCATGGGAGGTAATGACAGGGAGTCAACCTGCGGTGTGAGTGGACTAGTGCCCACGGGAGGTAATGACAGGGGAGTCAGCCTGCAGTGTGCAAATGGATTGGTGGCTACGGGAATGATCGAGAATATGAGCGTGGCCAGGTGACGGTAGAGTCTGCTGGTAGAGCGGTCTAAAGCCAGCGAGGTTGGGGAATGGGGACATGGCCTCGGACTGTATATAAGGGAGATGCGCAGGAGACTCGGGGCTGTTGCAGTGGAGTCTTCGCTGATTCGAGTGAACATGTTTCTTCAATAAAGAAACCATCTCAAGGCAAGTATGTGAAGTCGTCATTACACAAATAACAACTCATCCAGGCGCCTTTCCTTCTCACCTTTGTTAAACAAAACCAGCTTTTAGACTTCATATTCACTTGCAATCCAGAGGTCGCCGGTTCGATGTCACCGCCCGGCCAGTTGTATTCAATGGCCAGATTTTCTAACCACTCCCGCCGCATCTCTGTCCACCTGGCGGCAGGTTAACTCAGTACGGCACTCTGGCGTCGAGCAGGTGGCACGTGTTTGGTGGGGTGAACAGTGGCTACTCCCACCTCTTTCAAGACGTCTGATCAGCGTGGAGGAATAGGCAACAATACCCTACAAGAGATGGCCCTCCAGGGGGTCCATCGAGTGCATGCTTCCCCTTCCGCCAGCGGTGGCAGGAGCGAGCACTTTCGGGGCTGCGCCTTTACTTTGAGACCAGATGTCCGCACGGCTGTTTTAGTCACGTCAGCTCGGTTTCCTGAGCAAGTGTTTAACATGCTCCCTGTCGTGAGACTTGTTATGTTTTGCCGGAAAACATCTGTGCCAAAAGGCCGAACAGGCGAATGGAATAACGTCGTGCTTTTACCCGACTTGCATGTGGTCAAACTCTCAAACCGTTTGATATTTGTAAACTAAACATTTTTTTTAATTTTACCAGGTAAGACCCACCGAGCTTAATGCCTCTTTTTCAGAAGCGACCTCGTCACACGTGACATCTCGACGAAGTGGCTTATCACGTGGAAATTTAGAGCAGCCAAATACTATTGAAGCATATTGATTCCAAATGTGGAGGGAAAAACCGGAGGACCCGGAGAAAAATCCATGAGACCACGGGACTACCTGGAGAGAGACACGCAAACTCCAAAAATACAGCGACAAGGTTTGTGATCGCACCCACGACCTCCTGTATACCAGGCGAGGGAGTTAACATCTCGTCACCGTGGTGCACCATATGCATCGAGTTATCCATAAAGCACGGTGATTTTTTTTCTTGCGCAATTAAAAACATTCTAAACGTATTTAAATAAATACACAATACGGTCTTTAAGATAAACTTTATAGGACCGTCCTGAAAACATAAAGTCACGAGATTCTGTGGGGCTTTCCCAGGTAAACTAATGGGAAACATAACACCGACAGCCTGCTGATTGTATACCATCCTCACAGTGACTTCAATGATATTTGATCGCTCAGGTGAAGCCACCACGATCGCCAATCCCAAGGGTGGCGAGGATGTCGAGGCGCGACGCTCCACGTGCCTCCTGGGAACAGAGTTGTGGTGCCTTACCTGGGGCTACCTGAACACCTGCCCGCATGGACACGCGTTGGCACCGTTACTTGCAATAGCAATGCCCATGTTATTGCATTGGGTACATGATTATTAGCTGATGAACCTCAACCCTTATCCAATTCACAAAAAAAAACCGTGTTCGTTAATGTCGCCATAAAATGGAAATATTGGAGGCGACGTTTTAGGCAGCGGGCCTTCTTATATTTTGACAGCACATGAAACACACCGTACTATACATGAAACTTTTTTTTTTACACTTTAAGGCCACGGCGTTGTAATTGACGAATGTGTCGAGCTGGTTGTTAGTTGTGCATGTTGCACCACTGCTGCCAAAGGCATCACCCAACATCGTTCGTAAACACCCGTGGACATCGCTTCGTTTCTCGCAGTCACGGCGTGGTTCAGACCAACCTACCGCTCAGCTCCTCCGCTCTTTGCCGTTCAACTGAACTTTGTCGCGATGGACGAGGTCGTGATTTACACTTTCAGGAATCGATCGCTATTTGCGTTTATTCGTCTCTCGTTGCCCCCCCCCCGCGCCCACACACGGCCACCACTCCAGCACACCTGGCTGCGAGCGCGCGCATCGCGATGGACTCTCAGCTCGCGATTGACATCACACCTCGGTGGCATCACAGCTGGGTGACAACACAGCTGGTAACCTTCACACTTGGGTGGCATCACAGCTGGGTGACATCACAGCTGGTAACCTTCACACCTCGGTGGCATCACAGCTGGGTGACATCACAGCTGGTAACCTTCACACTTGGGTGGCATCACAGTTGGGTGACATCACAGCTGGTAACCTTCACACCTCGGTGGCATCACAGCTGGGTGACATCACAGCTGAGTGACATCACAACTGAGTGACATCACAACTGAGTCACATCACACCTAGTGACATGACAACTGACTGACATCACACCTGGTGACATCACAACTGGGTGACATCACAGCTGATAACCTTCACACCTGGGTAGCATCACAGCTGGTTGACATTACAGCTGAGTGACATCACAACTGAGTGACATCACAGCTGAGTGACATCACAGCTGAGTGACATCACACCTGGTGACATGACACCTGGGTGGCATCACACCTGGTGACATCACATCTGGTGATGACACCAAACCTGGTGATGACACAGTCACAAACTTGATACCTGGTGATGTCACGTATGGTCACTTCACACCTGATGACTCACCGGATTATGCCGTCACCACCGGTCATGCCCCCCGATGCCCCCACCCCTCCCCCGTTACAAAGTTGGTGACGTGCTGCGCGAGTAGCGATGCACAAACAGAAAGTCTATGTGGCCTTCAAGGGAAAACAATTATAGGTGACGTTTCGGGCACTGGGCCTTTTACACATCTGTGCCTATTTCCCGAAACACTACCAATTGTGTACTTTACCTCTAAAGGCCACGTTATAATTGACGAATGTGTCAAGTTTGTGGTTCTAAAGTTTGGTGGTTGGTGGTGATGGGGATAGGAAATCAGCTGGGGAGGTTCACCTGTAACTCACCTGGCACTCACCTGTCACTCACCTGGCACTCACCTGTCACTCACCTGACACGTGGCAGCGGGCCCCGGGGTAGCGCGCAGACCGGTGGGACGCTCACAATCACACACACACACACCGTCACCACCGCACACACACACACACCGTCACCGCTCACAACCACACACACACACCGTCACCACCGCACACACACACACCGTCACAACCGCACACACACACACACCATCACAACCGCACACACGCACCATCACAACCGCACACACACACCGTCACAACCGCACACACACACACCGTCACAACCACTCACACACATACACCATCACAACCGCACACACGCACCATCACAACCGCACACACACACACAGTCACAAGCGCACACACACACCGTCACAACCACTCACACATATACACCGTCACAACCGCACACACACCGTCACAACCGCACACACACACACCGTCACAACCACTCACACACACACACCGTCACAACCGCACACACACGCACCATCACAACCGCACACACACACACACCGTCACAACCACTCACACACACACACACCGTCACAACCGCACACACACACACCGTCACAACCGCACACACACACACCGTCACAACCGCACACACACACACCGTCACAACCGCACACACACGCACCGTCACCACCGCACATATACAGCCGTCACAACCGCACACACACGCACCGTCACCACCGCACACACACACACGCACCGTCACCACCGCATACACACCGTCACAAACGCACACACGCACCGTCACAAACGCACACACGCACCGTCACAAACGCACACACGCACCGTCACAACCGCACACACACACGCACCGTCACCACCGCATACACACACGCACCGTCACCACCGCACACACACCGTCACAACCGCACACACACGCACTGTCACAACCGCACACGCACCGCCACAACTACGCACATGCGCCTACCACACCAGAGAAATCGTGCACACACACACACACGTGCTTTGCGTTGAACCACCCTGAAATGCACGATTGTGAAATTCGAATGTTTTGATTAACTCGCCGGTATCGCATTTCAGTTGTCTTGCGATGGCCAGAAAGGTGATGCCACCTTGGCTCCCAGGATCCCTACTCTCGTGGACACGCGATTACTTGGCACTTAAGCCTACCTGGATGCAATATTGCCTGGTTACATGATCATACAGCCACCTAATCACGTGGCAGCACGTTTACACGAATATAAGAGGCGCCCAATGTACCTGCCTGCTTATCTCTCCGCGTGAACACCTGGCCCACGTGGAGCTAAATGACCCGGGGGGTTGCCCGGCTACCCTGGCCGGGTGTTCGCTCGTCAAAGGGCGCAGCAACAAACACGCGAGTGGTGGGACCGGGGGGGGGGGCGCACCTAAACAAAGCATGCACAAGCCAAGCGTCAGTTTCAAAACGTACTTGTATTTATCCTCAGTATTTCTACAAGACAGTGTTTCTTTACAGAAACGGTGGGGGGCGGAGGGGGGCAGAGAGAGAGAGAAGGGACAGACTCTTAGAGGGTGTGGGTGGTAAGGTGGGAGGCGGGTGAGTGGGATTATGGGTAAAGTATATTTACACAGCACATTGGGAGATTTGACGAAGGTCAGATTGCATATAAAATAGCAGAGTGTACAGAGTGGGGATGTGGGCATCGGGCACGCAGGCGACACAGAATTCGCCCGCCCACCTCCTGGTATAAATGTTCAACTTTACAGACATCCTTGAAAGACTTTGAGAAATACACATGATGATAAATAATAGCGATTTTAAATACAGGAAATACATTTTTTTCGTATTTTTTTTGTCTCCACGTTTTTTGTTTCTTTAACCCCCTCCCCCCGCCACTCGCTCCTCCCTCTCCCCAATTTTTACGCTTCACACTTGGGTAACACTTCTTCTTCTCACTTCAGCGTACAAACGAGAAAAGAAAAGCGCTGCAACAGTTACAGTGAAATTCACAATTAACCCGAGAGCCGGCGTGCGTATAATGAAGCCACGCACTCCGCTTCAAAAATACTCCCGTGCCGGAAATTGAAGAGGGCGAGGAGAGCCAGGGCTTGCCCGTGTGGGCGACGAGCCGCGCGCCGTCAATCCACCCGCCCGTCGTGTGCGTTGCTCTGCGGTGACCTCCCGCCGTGACCTCGCTCAAGGAATCTCACACAGATGCAGTAGATTCAAACAATCTGCTCCAGACTGCTCCCAGCAGTCACAAAAGCCAGATCCAGACTAGATTCACCCCCCCCACCCCTTTTCCCATCAGACACTGGCCAAACAAGACCCAGGCCAAACCCAGGCCAGATATAAGACCCCCACCACCAGACCAGACCGGACCCAGGCCAGACTCGGATAGACCCAGAGCCAGATCCAAGCCCAGACTAGACCTGACAATGCCCCCCCTCCCCGACCCCAACTGGAGTAGACAAGGCCGCAACCGACCGACCCTCAGGGCTCCGTGTAAAGTGTGACGCCGCGCCTCGTGTCTCCCTTCCCGCCAAAGCGCGTGATGTTTTGCCATGGGTAATTAATTGATAATTATAGTATCGATAACAATAGCGACAACAAAAAGAAACAAAAAACTTAAAGCCACGTGTGTCGACTGCTGCAGACTCCGGTGGGACCACCGCGTTGCAGAGACGAAGCCAGTTCCTGGCGTCGTGACGAAGCGAGAATGGCGCCAAACGGCATCAGAGAAGACAAAACAACATCCGCTCGTTTCTGAAATCTGTGGTAGGGGGAGGGCAGCCGCCGCCACGGTCACGGCCGGCCGCCGGGATTCTCGCGCTCCACTCGTTCCTCCGCCCCGCTCCCTGGCGACCAGACCCACCCCCGCCGCCCGTGTTCCCGACAGACGGACGATTATTCACGCCCTCCGCCGCTCGGATTCACCTCGCGCGTCGCCAAGAGGCTCGAGAAGCTTCAGCCCGTCGCCGTTGGGGAGGGCCGCAGAGACGCCCCTCGCAGCGACTCGATAATCGCCGCGCAAAACGCATTCAATCTCTCTCCTTGCGCGACGAATTCCCACGCGGGCCGTCGTGCTTTCTTTTTTCTTTCTTCAAAATAAATATACGCTTCCATTTGTTGTAGATTTTATATTCGTTTGTTTTGTTTCCTACGGGGCCGAGAGGGTCTCTCTCTCTCTCTCCGGAGGCGATCGTCCCACAGCTTTGCGACCGTTCCTCCCCGGACTCTGTCGGACTTGCTCTCGAGTTCACCATCTCGGAATCTTCCCCCGCGGTTGCGTGCCCGTGGGGGGTGGGGGGTGAGAGGCGCGCGAGGGATGTGTCGTCTCCAATTGGCCGTGCGGTGTTCGGAAAAAATTCCGCGCGACGGGGGGGAGACCGCACCTCTCGGCAGTCCTGGGGGCTCCCCCACCCCTCCATCGTCGCGTGTCCACATCCGCCGAGACGTGAACGTTATTATTATTATTATTAAAATGATATTATTCCTAACGGTATTAACTTTTTTTATCATCATCGCCACCATCATTTTTGCTTGCCGCCAAAGTGCACAAATAATTCCTGTCGGATGTGTAACTTATCAAGAGCTGAGCGTTCCTTAAATTAAAAGTCACGGATCTAGTTCCAACTTTGATGAACCTGACCGGCCTATATCCGTTGCCAAGCGGGGCCCGCCGGCCGGCCGGCCGCTCGCACGGCGAAGCCAGCCGGCCGTGCCGGCCCAAGGCGAAGTTGGTGCGACGACTGTTATCCATTACACACGAAACAAAAACCTAACCGGCTCCGCTAGCGGCGGCGACGGCTGAGCGGCGCTCACCGCGCCTCCACCTCCTTGCGCGAAGGCGAGCGGTCGCTGGGCTCCCCCAGGGGCGTGAGCGCCGCGGGCTGCCGCGGGGACATCGGGTGCGACACGCCCGTGGGGATGAGCGGCGGGGGCCCCCCCATGGCGGCCGCCGACGCCGACGGCGGCTGCGGCTGCGGCGGCATCGGCGGCGCGAGCGAGGCGGGCTTGCCCCCTCCCGGCACGCCGCCGGGTCCGCTCAGGAAGCCGTTGTGCATGCCGTGCGGCAGGCCGGGCCTGGAGCCGGGATAGTGCAGCGGGCCGAGCGGCGACAGGAAGCCCTGGTGGTGGTGCGGGTGGTAATGCGCGCCGGCGAGAGGGTCCATGCCGGCCGCGGCCACCGCCGCCGCGGCCGCGGCCGCCGCTGACGGGTTGCGCAGCGCGTGCTGGGTGGCGCGCGCCCGCTCCAGGTCGTCGCGGAACGACTGCAGCCTCTCCCGCTCGTCGCGCTCCACCTCGCCCCGCCGCACCTCCAGCAGGTTGTTGTAGTCGTGCGGCTCGCGGTCCCGGTAGCTCTCGGCGCCGTAGAAGCCGCCGGCGGCCGCCGCCGCCGCGGCCGCCACCGCCGCCGCGTGCGACGGCCCGGGGAAACGGTGCGCGCCCGGCAGGCTCGAGAGGTCGAGGCCCAGTCTGTAGGGGTCACGGAACGCGCTGGCGTCCACCCAGGGCGGCGGCGGGTTCATCATGGGGTGGTGCTGCTGCTGGTGCGGGGGGGGCTGCTGCGGGTGGTGGTTGTGGTTGTGGTGCTGCGCGTGCTGCGGCGGGAACCGCGGGTCGCGGCTCTGGAGGCCCAGGTGGGGCATGCCCAGGTAGTGGCCCTGGCCCACGCCCGTGGCCGCCGACAGCAGGCGAGTCCGGTCGAGCAGCGCCAGGTTGGAGGAGTGCGAGCCGCTCAGCATGCCGGAGCTGGGCGGCAGCGGGTGAGACTGCGGGGGCAGCCCGGCCGCCAGGTGGTGGTACGGGTCGCCGGGACGTGCGCCCACGAAGGAGGCGACGCCGGGCCCCGCGCCGCCGCTGCTGGTGATGATGGCCGCGGCGCCCAGCGAGTGCTGCGTCTCGCTCTCCTCCTTGCGCTCCTCCTTGACGCGCTGCAGCTCGCCCAGTCCCGACACGAACGGCTGCGCCCGCCTCTCGGCGCCGCCGCTCTGCCGCCCGGACGCCGCCGCCGCCGCGGCCGCGGCCGCCGTGTCTGGCCCGCTCAGCCCGGGCAGCGCGGCCCCGTGGGGACGGCAGAACGGCGAGATGCAGCGGGCGCGGCCGCCGACCGCGGCGCCGCCGCCGCCGCCGCCGTCGTCCCCGTTGCGCTTGTCGCCGAGGCTCTCGCGCAGAGACGGCGCCGCCGTCGTCGCCTCCTTGGCCCGCGACTCCGCCAGGCCGACTCTCCCCTCCGTGGGCGACGTCGCCTCCTCCTTGGGCCGTGTCTCCACGGGCGGAGCGGCGGATGCCGCGGCGGCGGTGAGGCCGTCTTTCCGGACGTCTGGGGGCGCCTCCCGGTCGCCGCCGCCGCGGCCCGAGGGCCTGTCGGGCGGCTCGGGAACGCCGCCCTGGCGCTCGGGAAGGTCGGCGCGCGGCCGCTCGGCCTCCCGCAGTCCGTCGTAGCCGGGGAAGGGAGGCGTCCGCGACGTCGCCATGGGCGACGGCCGGCTCGGGATGCGGCCGCGCTCGCAAGCGTCCCTGCCGGGGTGGGGCGGGGGAGGCGAGGAGGGGGGGCAAGGCGGGGGAGGGGGGGGAAACGACCCCATGCCATCACTCGCCGTGCATCACTTACTCATCACTGCAGTTATATTTATATCAGTGATTTTTATATCAGTCAAATCAATTGAACCACATCGCCATTTCTGAAGTAACGGCCATCGGCTTCCAAAGCAATGCCGACTGTTATTATTTTTACCTTTCTCTCTCCTTGTCATCCTTGCTGAAGCCAAGGTCACGTTTTTCGACGTCTCCTCTCTCCTGATTTGCCAGCGTGAGCAGGCCGCTTCTCTCCCTCTCCGGGAGCGCCATGGGCGGCGGCGCCGACCCACGTTCCCTCTCGTGATTGGCCAGCGAAGGGCGCTCCCTGTCGTGATTGGGCACGGCGGACGCCCTTTCCCTGTCGTGATTGGCCGGCTGCGAGCAGCGCTCCTTCTCGTGACCGCGTTCCCTCTCCTGGCCGTGCTCCCTCTCTCCGTGGCCGGGGAACGGCCGCTCCCTCGCCTGCGCGGGGATCATCTGGCCTCGCTCGCGCTCGCGCTCGGCGTTGGCCGAAGAGCTGCGCTCCCTGTCCGGCGCGCCGGCCGGCTGGGCCCTCTCCCTGTCCGGCGCGCCGGCGAGGTGGCCTCCCCGTTCCCTGTCCACGCTCGCCGAGTGGCTGCGCTCCCTCTCGTGGCCCGACAGGCCGCCGTTGCGCTCCCTCTCGTGAGCCGTGCTGCTCGCCGCCGCCGCCGCCGCAGCCGCAGCCGCGGCGGCGGCGGCCGCGGCGGCCGCGGCGTTGCTGCGCTCGCGGTCCTGGCTCCGCTCCCGCTCGCGCTCCCTCTCGCGCTCCCTCTCGCGCTCCCTGTCCCGCTCGCGCTCGCGCTCCTGGCTCGCCGAGGAGCTGCGCTCGGGCGCGTCGCCCGGCTTGGGCCAGGGCGGCGGCGTGGGGAAGGAGGGTGGCGTGCGGTGCAGCCGGTTCCACGGCTCGTGGGGGTTCGAGAAGCCCGGGAACGGCGGGCCCTCCTTGGCGCCGAACAGCGCGCTGCTGGAGGCTGTGGGAGGCCACAGAGGAGGGGACGGAGAGACACGCACGTGATGGGGATTTCTCTTAGCGATAAGCAGGCGGTGATGCGTGCTTCATCTTTACTCGGATTGAAACTCGGTGGTGCTGGTGCAGGAGTTTGGTGACAGCGTCGTGCATATCGTGTGGTGCGCTGCGGTAGGGTGTGGTGTGTGCCGAGGTGTGGTGTGTGCCGAGGTGTGGTGTGATGCCGTGCAGTGTATCATTACGTGTTGCGCTGTGTCAATGTGTAGTACGACATTGCGCGGTGTGATCCTCTGTCATGTGTTGCTGTGTACATCATAACGCTGTGTGATGTGTTGCTGTGTACGGTGTGATGCCGAGTGATTATTGCAGTGTAAGTACATTGTGTTTGGTGCGTGACGTGTTAATGTGCATACGCTGTGGTGTATTGTGTGTGGTGTGTGACGTGTTCATGTGTGTACGGTGTAGTGTATTGTGTGTGGTGTGTTGCTGAGTATAGCGTGATGCTGTGTAGTGTATGGTGTGTTGTTTGGTATGCGGTGTGGTGTGTGCGGTGTGGTGTACGGGGTATTGCCGTCTGTATAATGTGGTGCTGCTGACTGCGACGTGATGGTGCACCTGTGTGACGTATTGCTGTGTGCGTGGCGTATTGTGTACGGTGTGCTGTGCACGCGCTGTGGCACTGATGCTGCTGTGTTGCCGTACGCATGGCATGACGCAGCGTGGCGTACTGCCGTGTGCGCGCGTGCGTGGGGTGTGCGTGGGGTGTGCGTGGGGTGTGCGTGGGGTGTGCGTGGGGTGTGCGTGCGCGCGTTGTGTGGTGCGTTTGCCGCGCGGTGCGTCATTACCGAACGTGTTTTGGAACGGTGTTGCCCTATGTAGCGCAGCTCTGTGCAGCGCGGCACTTTGCAACCACAACGACGGAAAGAAGGCGTTCTCACCCAGCGTGGGGTTCCCCAGGCCCCCGAACGCGCTCGTGCTCAGGTTGCCGAGTCCAGTGAATCCGCTCGGCCGGCCGAAGGGGTCCACCGCTGGTGGTGGGGTTGGGGGGGGTAGGGGGAGTGGGGGTGGTGAGGGCGGGGACAGGCGCGGGGGCGGCGAATCACACGGACGCGAGCGCGGCTTCGGCGGCAACGGCGGCGCCGGCGACGCGCGAGAGAGAGTGGGCCACGTCTGCCGGCGTCACGGTGCGAATTTGCCATCGTTTGAAAAATGACCCGAAATCCCGCAATTGGGTAAAACCCAGAGAGCAACATCGGTACCTACTGGCCGACTACACCCGTCTGTGAAACACAGCACCTCCCTTCGCGAGAGAATTGCTGCTGCGAGAACGGCATGAACACCAAACGTTTCCCACGGTCGCTGTCCTTGTCGCTGCTGCTACTGCAGTTGTTGTTGTTGTTGTTATTACAACCGGGCAACACAGGGAGGTGGCGGGCTGCACTCACCGAGGTGACCGGGTGGGCTGAGGAAGCTGTTGTGTTGCGGGGGCGGCACACCAAAGGGGTTCGCCGGAGGCCCGCCGGGCGTGGAGAAGAGAGCGCCGGGCCGTGCCAGGTCGGCAGGGTGCGGGTACCCGGGGAAGAGCCCCGGGATGCCGGGCCGGCCGGCGGGGCCCAGCAGCTCAGGCTTGAGGCCCAGGTCCAGCTTGTGAGGGTCGCTCTGCAGCGCCTGCACGGTGGGTCAAGAGGTCGAAGGTCAGGCAGGACTCGGCACGAAAGGTTTCCGACTCGTTTTCTGCAATGGCCCCGTAATACTACGTGTAAACGTAACGTACGAGCGTAACGTAACGTACGAGCGTAACGTAACGTACGAGCGTAACGTAACGTACGAGCGTAACGTAACGTACGAGCGTAACGTAACGTACGAGCGTAACGTAACGTACGAGCGTAACGTAACGTACGAGTGTAACGTAACGTACGAGCGTAACGTAACGTACGAGCGTAACGTAACGTACGAGCGTAACGTAACGTACGAGCGTAACGTAACGTACGAGCGTAACGTAACGTACGAGCGTAACGTACGAGCGTAACGTAACGTACGAGCGTAACGTAACGTACGAGCGTAACGTAACGTACGAGCGTAACGTAACGTACGAGCGTAACGTAACGTACGCGTGTGATAAGGTTTTGCGGCAAGGGGTGCAACAAGAAGCGTACGTCTCGGAATGGCGCTGGCTCTGCGTGCGTCGCGGCTCCCTCGTTAATAATTCAACTCGCGTGCTTCATTTAGAAGTAAAAGACAGCCTGCGGACGCACAACGTCACCCAGGCAGGGCTGGCCGTGCAGGGAAAGGGACCGCCGTTATCCTTCGTCGTTCAGCCGCGGCGCCGGCCGGAGGCACGTCGGTAATTTCCCTCACGGGGATCGCGCGGCACGGCGAGTGTCAAGCGATCCGCTGACCTCGTGCCTGGCGGTGCGGCGAGTACACACAACGCTCCCGGCTACCCACAACCCTGCGTCGTACGAACACAGCACAACAACGCAGCGCCGCGCGGATTTCTATACGGCGTCTAAACATAGCCTGGACTTGAACATGGGCAGGGAGTGCTCGTGGGGAGGGGAGGGGGTAAGAGCGAGGAGAGGGCGCGGGCAAGGGTGGAGAGACTCTGGGGACAGCGGCGTCAAATCGAGACGTCTATTTAAACGGCTGCGCTGACCTTGGCCTTCTGCTGCTGGTGGTAAATGAGCCAGGCGATATGCACGTGAGCAGCGCACCACTTGCCGGGCTTCTGCAGGCGACACGCACGCGCGCGCACACACACAGCAAGGCGAGCAACATTAAACCTCAACTCGACAATGGTGGGCGAGTGCAGTCCCCCCTCCCCCCACCGCGCGGCGCGCCAGTCGCGCGAGCGAGAGGTGCGGTGCACAACGACGAGCGTCTCACCTTGAGCGTTTGTCTAAACGGATCCGTCAGCTGTCGAGGGGTGGAGGGGGGTGGGGGAACGTTGGGGAGGGAGGAGAGAAAAGGCAACGGTTAAAGCGCATCAGCCGCTCCGCTTGGCCCGGTGCGGGCGTTGTAATTCGTGAGGCTCGTGCGTGCAAGTACGTGGGGGAGAGATGTTGCAGCGGTTAGCGCGCTGCACTACGAACCCGGCGACCCGAATCCGATTCCCGCTCAGGACCAACAACAGCGACGAATGTCTGAACCGTTACTGGGCCTCCCCAAGGTCGACTCATCCTGTAAAAGGTTATACACTTGGTGCGGTGTGTATGTTGAACTTCTTTCACACCGTACATAGCCAACCGTGCTTATTGTCTCTTGTTGAGACAAAGGCAGCCGGGCACGGTGTTGGCCTTGCCCCCTCCTGTGATGTGCCGGCCTTCACAGGCGCTCGCAAACATCACTTGCCCCGAGAGTCTGTTAAGGCTTTAGGGGGGATCTTTGTCTTTATTCTGCGTGTGCTGTCACCCCGTGCGGGCTGCGAACTGTTACCCGCGGGTCCTTGGTCAGCAGGCTGTGTGATGGCAGCGACCCCGCCCGGCCCGGGCCTACGTCCATCGGACTTGCCGTCTGCGGAGGGGTCATACACGGGGTCACGCGGTTGGTTCTGGGCTGTGCATTGTCCGTCTCCTCCTGGGTCAGGGTGTGCGTGCGGGAGCCGCGAGTTCGGGAACGAGAACCCAGCTACCGCAGCCGCACACAACCAGGGGCAGCAAACTCACACCGCCCGACAAATAACGAGAGGTGGGCAAACAACATTCACATTACTAATTACCGGAGGAAATGTAATTTAGATACGAATGACCAATTACTTTGCGCTGTGCAATTTGGATACCAATTACAAATTACAAACGTAATGAAATTACGTGTAATTGAGATACTGTCCGTCTCTGCAACCAATCAGGAAACGGGTAACTCGACCCAAGCAGCCAATCGGGGTGCGTTTTGCTCGGCAGCAGCACGGGGGTCAGGCCGCCGACGCAACGCACTCCCCGAGTGGCCGACCGAATGATGCGGTTGAGGCAGCGGGGGCGGCCCTGCTTCCGGTTTTTTTATTCATTTAAAACAAAAACAAAACGGGTTTCCGTGTGTTTCCGCCGCAGACCCTGGGTCTTGAACGCATTTATTCGAGACGTCGCGCGGCGGCAGCCGGCGGCCGAGGGGGCGGGAGGGGCGGGGGGGGATTGGTGATTACGGAAGGGAAGGAAGGAGATTTCACTCGGTATTGATTTTTCTAAAATTGCGTTGAGCCCGGGGCGCGGCAAATGCAGCGCGCGCGCCGCCGAGCGGCGAGGTGGCCCCTAGGACGGGAGGCTGAGCCCGCAGTGGCTCGTAAGCAATGGCTCCGGCGGGGCAGAAAATAGCGTCTCCAACGCCGGCATGGAAAAACTACATCCTCCCTGAAACTTAAAAAGACTAAAAACAACTCAAGGGGGAAAAGAGACCGCAGAAGCGCGCAGCTCGCGGGGAGCGGGGCGGTCGGCGTGCGGGATCACGGTTGTCGGGACGGCGATTCGGAAAGCCAAGACGGAACCAAACAAAGGGAAGGGGCGGTAGAGCGGAGGGAGAAGGGTGGGGGGGGCGTGACCGGGGGAGGGTGAGAGACCCCGCACCTTGGGCTGGAAGGCACCCTGCAGCGAGCCGAAGTGAGCAGGCGGGAAGAGCGGTGGCATCGCAGGGATGCTTGAGTGGTAGGGCGGGAAAAACTGCGAAACACAGGGAGACGGCGGCAGCAGCGGCGGTTAGCCAACCCGGCCGCGCCGGCGCCACGCGCAAAACCACGGACGGACGCGCGGCGGCCGCCGCCGCCGACGGCGCCACCGCCGCTTCCACGGAGGCGGCGCCGTGAGGTCCTGGCGGGCGCACGGCGCCGGCCCTGCTCCCCGCGGGGGCGCCCCGCCGGGTTTGTCGGCGCGCCCGTCGAGCCGCGCCGTGCGCCGGCACGCGCGGGGTGAGAGGGAACGTTTTTTGGTCCAAGCGATCGAGTTCAGAGTTCAAACGTTGGTGTCGGCAGGGACGGGAACAAGGCGAACTTACGCTCGACGGTCGGTAAAACGGGCTGTCCAACTTGGCGGGGTACTTGTCGAACTGCAACGAGACGGAGAGAGGGACACACGAGTCAGCGTCCGCCGGCGCGTTCCGTTTAAAGGGAATACGTTCATTACAGATGAACTATATATATCTAAAAAATAGAAAAGACAAATAGATGCTTTATTGTAATTGAAACGGCAGTTATTCCTAAAGTAGACTTTTCCATGAGCAAAACAAGAGAGCGCACTGCAGCTAATGAACAAATTTCAAAAACAGCGGCAGTAACGAGTGCCATGCCGGCCGAACCGTCAGGACGCAACAAGTGACCGGGCGACTCAGACACACGCAGACACACGCACTGACACGGACACACCACACACACTCACACCACACACACTCACACCACACACACACCACACACACTCACACCACACACACTCACACCACACACACTCACACGTATAACCACTGACTCACACGCTGCCTTCAACCCAGACACACGCAACAACAACAGCCGCCATTCGCCACAAAGTGGCGGTGACGTCACCACGGCGCCCGTGCCACGCCAGGTGTACACACACACTGACACAAACCAAGACACACACAAACACAGAGACACACACACACACAAAGATACACAGACACTGACACAAACCCAGACACACACACACACTGACATAAACCCAAAACACACAGACACACACACAAAGGTACACACAGACAATGACACAAACCCTCACGCACACACACAAACACCAACACCATTAGGCAGTCTCTTTCACAGCACCAGCAACAGCCACGTGGGCCACACGCAGCCACGCTCACAGTTTCACTCAGGGGCTGCCCCTCGCGCGCCAGCGAGAGAAGGGAACCAGAAGATTGGGGCAACGGGGCGGTTGGGGGCAGGTAGGGAATGGGGTAGGGGGCACGGAGGGAGCGGAGGGAGCGGAGGGAGCAGAGGGAGCGGAGGGAGCAGAGGGAGCGGAGGGAGGGGTGTTTTACTTATCCAGCCCAGACAGGGGGCACACACCAGCGTCGGGATGGGCGGGGGAGGGGGCATGGGGCCCCCCGGCAGCAAAGCGGCGGCCGTGGCGCCTGGCGCGGGGGCGGGCGGGATGGCGCCCGGGAATGGGGTGAACGTATGCTGGTGGGTGTGCTGGTGCGTGTGCTGGTGCTGGTGAAACTCGGCGCGGTAGTACGGCGGCGGCGGCGCCGGCAACGCGGAGGCCGGGTGCTGCGACGGCGGAGGGGGGGGCGCTGGCCCCCCCCGGTTGCCCGCCGAGCCGGCGCCGCCGGCGCCGCCGCCGCCGTGCGCCGCCAGAAAGCGGCTGTTGAGCTCCTGGCGGAGGAGCTCTGGGTCTGCAACAACAAGAGGCACACACGGGGCGCCCCGCGCGGGCACACGGGCACCGGCAGCCGTGAGCAGCGGCGACCGCGACGGTAGAGAGTAAAACTAAGAAGGGCATTCACCTTGCACTCCCGATCCGGGCAGCTAAGGCCCAGCTGAGGAGGAGGCAGGTGTGATGCGATTGGTGGAGGTGGAGGAGGAGGAGGAGGAGTCGGGAAATAGCCAATCAGAGTCTCCAACTGGCGCTGGTAGTACACGATTGGCTGGAGGTAGGCTAGTGGCAGGCTGGCGTGATCTGAAGACACAACAAGACGCGCAGCAGCAGCAGGCAGCAGCGGTTACTCCTCCACGCGCGCTCGCTGGCCCACGCCGGCCAGCGCTCAGCATGCCCGGCGAGTCTGCAATTTCGGCGCCCGCTCGCTCGCTCGTTCGTTCCGTCGGTTCCAAATTCTTGGTTCGTCTTAAAACATTTAAGCGTTTTTATCAGAGGGCTTCGCGTGGCCACGTTGGCATTGGAAATTTGTACAAAGGGACGGACCGGTGGGACGGTGGGTGGGGGGGGCCTTGGTTCGAAGAGAGAAATAACTGCCGCACCGTGACACGGTGGCGGCAGCGGCGGCGGCGTCGTGCGCCGTGGTTGCAGGCTCTCCGGCGGTGGTGTGTGTGGTCATTCCGGCACGCGGTATATATATGGTGATATGTTCTCATGGTGTCATTACCATCGCTTCTTGATACTTCTTATCAACATTTTAAATGCACGATAAAAACACTGCCCAATCAACGACTTAGGCGGAGATTATTCGGTTGTTCTCTTCCGTAAACGGTGAACGTTATTATTCTTTTTTAAATGTCTCTGTTACATATTTTACGTTTTATGCATGCGGCCTCCTCCTCTCCTCCACCGACACGATTCGAGCCAAAAACGTGAAATACCGAGGTTGAATTAGAGCGGCGCGTGGCGCGTGTGCCAAGTTCACGGCAGTGTCTTTATACGCTAGGCGACCGCGCGCTCCCGCAAGGGAGACACGCTACTCACACACAAGGCATCGTAAAATCACAACCGTGGCATCGCATCCAACAACAGCCCGCTACATCGGTACATTTAATCACATATCGGATAATCGGGCATGCACTAAAATTGCGCTCTTAAAATGACGGCAATCTCACAAACGACTTCCGCAATAAACATAAAGGAATTTTCCTCGCCAAATATCAAGCACCCCCCCGCCTTCCCCCCCACCCCCCCACCCCGGAGCCGTCGCTCACACAGCGCGAGAAAAACGCGAGTGTCTCGGCTCACGGCGCCACTCGACACGAGCATCCGCAGCAGCTTGCGCGCGAGCGCAGCGGCGGCGGCTCGGACGGCCGTGGCACAAACAAAAATGTTTATCTCGGGGAACCCCGCGCTCTCTCGCCCGGCATCCCGGCCACGCAGCAGCCCCCCAGACGCGCGTCCGTAACCTCCGACCCGGGCCCCGCTCGGCCGGCTCGGGGAGACTCACCTGGCGAGTAGGCGGCCGGGTTGGAGGGGTGACCGGGCACGGGCAGGGCGGGCGACGGGAGCGGGGCCGTGGGGGGCGGCGCGAACATTGCCGCCGCGGGGTGAGGCGCGTGAGGGTGCCTGAGCGGGGGCGTCGGGCAGCTGTGCGGCGAGAAGTCGGCCAGGTGCGGGTGGCCGTGGGGGTGGCCGTGCGGGTGCCGGTGGGCGTGCTGGCGCGTGGGCGGAGCGGCGTAGCCCTGCGCCAGCCCCGGGGGGTAGCCCGGGTAAGGCAGCGAGAGGGAGGGCGTTGGCGTGTGGCTCGGCGTGGGCGTACGGCGGTGCGCGTGGGCGTGCGCCGGCGGGGTCAGGTACTTGAGCGGGGTGCTGCTCCGGCTGCTGCGCAGACGCACGGGTGGGGGAGGGGTGGGGGTCAGGCGGCACAAGCGCGGCTCGCACGCGCTCATCCACGCGCGCGCGCTCGGGATACGAGCGCGTGTACGTGCAGGTACACGCGCACATCGCGCGAGACGTTATTCAAAGCAAAACACCCTCGCCGCTTTCATCGTCAGTTTCACGGTCGTCGTCGTCGTCCACGCAGCCTGGTAACATCGCACCGCGTGGTCACGTTTCGACAACCGCCCAGAGCAGAGACGGCGCTGCGCGTTCAGTCACGGCGGCGGAGCCCCGAACACAACTGGGAAATCTCACTGAGAGGTCCCGGGGCGCACCTCTTGGAGTTGACGCTGCTGATGCCGCTGCTGTACGCCGGTTGCGGCCTGGACTGCGCCTGCGGCTGGGGGTTGCTGGACGGCCTCGACTGAGGCCTCGGCTGCGGAGGGGTGGCGAGGCGGGCGGGGGTGCTGGCCGCCGACTGGGGCACCGCGCTGGCCGTCTGCGTCTGCGAGAAAGGGGGCGGACGACGGGGGTTGGGGGGTTGAGGGTGACGGTCAGGAGAGAAGGAAGGCTCAGCGGCTCACCGACTCACCGGTGAGTGTCTGCAGAAATAATGGCAGGGCCAAATATAACGCGACAGGTTTTTTTTCACGCAGTCATTGGCGACCGGGTCGAGACCATCAACTCGCCACCGTTTAATCACAACTCTGCCTACGTGTGAATCTATCGGCGACTATGCGAGCGTACGGGTGCCCAGGACCAGGGCGACGAGCCGGCGGAGGGCCTCACCGGCGTGAGCGAGGGCTGCCGAAGCTGCGGCGGAGGCAGCTGGGGCTTGGGCTGCGGCGTGCGCCGTTCGGCGCCGGCGTGGCGCGGCGTCGCCGGGGCCCCGGAAGGGGGGGCGGCGGCGGCGGCGGCGACGGCGGCGGCGGCGCCGGCGGGGGGGGGCCGGGGGGCTCGGCAGGCTCTCCTTGCTCTGCTCCTGGCTGCGCGCGAGGCCGGACACGTGGGGCCTCGCGAGCCTCAGCGGCTCCCCGGCTCCACCGGCGGCCCCCGACAGGCCGTTGACGCACCCATCTGCAGACAAAGATCCCGTACCCCGCCCTGCGGCCTTGAGAATCTGCTCGTGGCGAGTGCCGTCATGGCGCGTGGAGGGGTAGGGTGGCCAGCACCAAGCGCGGCCACGTCTCCCTAGTGGTGCTGTTTACACGCCGCGCCGGGTACTTGTCTAAGGTCGAGCCGACCTAGAGGAGGCCCTGGACCGATTGAGATATTTGCCACTATTATTGGTCGTGAGCGAGAACCGAATTCTCTGGGTTCATAACGCAGTGGGCTAACCCCTACGCAACCCGGATGGTCGAAGAATGTCAGCAGAGTATTTTGACCTCCGTAGAATGCTATCAATTGTGTTGACCCACCTCCCATTGTTTAACCCACCAGCCCAACTCGAGTGAGAACCGAGACCCTGGCTGTGTGAGCATGCAGGGGGGTAGGGAGGAGTCGTTATTCCTTGCACGGTAATTGTACCCTGGGGTTCAGAATCAGAATCATTATTTCTACTGGAGGAATCAAATGAGCTTTTTCTCAGATGTGCAGTAGGGTCGGGTAAGAACGTTGCAAAAACAAACAGTACAAAAACACGATAGGAGTGCAAAGTCCAAGAAAGGTAAACAAATCACCCAAACACAAACAAAGACAACACTAAACCATCCCCATCATACCAGGCAAAGCCCACTGAGGTATTAACTTATTTTTCAGATGCGACCTGGCCACAAATTGATCGCTCAACAACAAAGTGACTTATCAATCTAAATCATCTCAATGCACGTTCCGAAATAATAATAACAACAATATTAACATCAAAACACCCGGGCCGTAATCCCAAAGCGATCATCCTAACTGGTCGTCATGTCCTGTGGTCTAGCTGGCATCTCCTCATCTCGCAGACACCGGATGACGCACGTGGCCGCGTTCAAACACCGCACAACGGGGAGGGAGATCACGAGGTGACGACCTCCTCTATGAGCGGGGGATGACTTAGCCGTCGCCCCCCACGTACGCCGATGCTGCTGCAGCGGGGAGGGAAGGACGGAATGCGTCCGGCCGCTCCAGACGGCTCTCGGAACTCAACTCAAGCGCCGCACTAAAGACTAATGCCCCGCGTAGATTATGACGATGAGGTTCGCTTTCGCAGAACCTGGCGAGCCCTGCCAGAGACGAGATCGTTGGCCGAGCCTGTGATTGCCACTGTGCCCACCGGGCGACCCGGCGGTGGATCTTTCGTGTTTTGCCCGTCAACCTCTGCCCGTTGTCTGCGACCGAGACACTTAAGCTAAAGAGATCCCCCAACAAACAACGCCGCCGCTGGCGGGGGAGAAGTGTAGACACGCGGCAGCTCCACGGCGGTAGCCCCACGGCGGCAGCCCCCCGTGAGCGTCCATCGCTACCGCAGCGCCTCCCAACAAGGGGGCAAAACACGGAGCGAGCAGCTGCCCCCTGGCAAGCGGGCGCGCCCGCGTTTGACCGCGCCACGTCGACATTCCGGCCGGGCACGCTTTCCTTCTCTGCTCTTTTAGAGAACACGGAAACCAAATAATTATACCGCCCGCCCGCCGCGGCGTGTCGTATACATTTTTCATACCGAACTCGCCGCCTGGGAAACACGACCCCCCTCGCCGGCGCGAGCACGTCCCGCCGGCGATTCGGGGACGGGGCGAGCCGTTGAGACGAGCTCGCGAGCCGCGCCGTTTGCCGACTGACTGCCCGTCAAAATATTCGCCCGAGCAAAATATCAGGCGGGCGGCAGCGTCCCCCGAAACCCGACTTGCCGCGGCTCTGTCCCCCGCCCCCCGCCTCTGGCGGGCGGCCCGAAGCGGGCGCGGAATGCGATCCGGTATTGTCGCCACGAACAAAGGCGACGGGGTCCTGGGGCGTAGACAAACGCGGGTGCGCAGGGCGACTCGGGGAAGCTTTGATGTCCCCGTAACGAGCGCCGGACTGCGGCGCAAACGCGACCGGCGAGGGCCTCCGTCTTCGTGTGCTGCCGTCTGAGCTCCTGCTCCACCCCTCCCCCCCCCCAAACCGTGCACGCTCTGTCCTCCCCCTGCTCTTGTTTTGCGCTCATTTTGCCTCGGTGCTGCGAGCAGTCAGGTGGAGAGAGAGGGAGGGAGGCGGCGGGGGCGGACGGCGGGTGCAATCGCGACCTCTGAACTCGGATGAAAGGTGGCAGTTTTTCTTCGATTTTCTCCGCTGTTCCGCATTCGTCAAGGGCGGCCGTCCGTGTTGTCTCAGCGGACAGCAAGGCTCACGGAAATCGATCGCGCCAATCCCCGACCCGATCTTTCTGTCCGCGAGATTTTTTTGTGTTAATTATACGTTTTGACTTTAACTCTGGTGTGTAACATAAAAACAAATATTTTCTTTCCGAACTCCGCTCGGCGATCCCTTAACGGCCGTGGACCGTGGGATGTTCACGCTCCCGGGGGCAAGTGAACGAGCAGAAACCACCGTGCAAAAAAACAGAACCATACCTCAATAAATAAATAACGCTGCCTGCTATTAAAAGCGGCGCTGGGTCTCTTAGGTCCTTGTTTGTTTGCGGGAGAACAGCTAAGCAGCCATGTTTGCTACATCAATTTGTTTGAACAACTGACTCGGAGCAGACCTCAATTAGCTTTTAGCAAATATTGATTTTCCCATCAGAAGTGGTGCTCGCCGCCGCACGCACCACACGGGCGGGCGAGAAAACCAACGGCCCCAACGAGTAGTCGCCCTGCCACTCGGGAGCTTGCTCGCCCGCCCACTCGCCCGCCCGATCGCCCCACTCACCCGCCCGGCTGAGACCCAGGGGACTCGGGGGAGATTTTAGAGAGACAGGAAGGAGACGGGGCAACTGGAGAGAGACTGGAGAGAGAGAGATGAGAGGGAGAGCCTCAACCAAGACTGGAGGCTGTGGGGGAGACTTGGAGACAGAGAGAGAGAGAAAGAGAGTGGAGCAAGAGAAAACAACAAGAGGGGAGGACCGGAGAGAGATGGGAGGGAGAGACAACGCAGAATGGAGACTTCAAGAAGACTGACGACGTTTTAGGGGAAGAGGCTCAGGGGAAAAGAAACTGGAAAGAGATTGTGGTGATATTCCAGCGAGACCGGACGGGAATTGCCACAGGAGGCTGGGAGCTGGGAAGGAATCCGGGGGGAGCCACGCAAGGACCCCCCAAGCTTGTCTCCTGAACAATGCCCAGACTGGGGGGGGGGTGGATGTCTGTGAGAAGCCAATTACACGACGTCTGAACGTCGAGCGGGCGGGCAGCAGACCCCCGCTCTGTGGCGGTCGGTCGAGAGGATTACACGCGGCTAATCCCGGCGATGAAGCGACCACCGCTGCAAACGCTGAAAAGGCCCTTTCAGAAGGGAACGAGATAAACGGCCTTGGCTAAACACAAGTAATGTCATTACAATGAAGCTTGCGGTTCTTGGAGAGAGAAGAGAAAGAAAGAGAGAGAGCGGGGGGAAGGAAAGTGGGAGTGGGATCGGCGGACAACGAGGAGGGACACGGAGACAGACAAAACGAGACGGAGGGGGAGTTGCGGAGGAGAGCGAGAGGCTTGAGAGAGCGAGCGGCAGCCACAGTGAATGGCGCCATTGTTGTCCCGGTGAAAGAGAATTCCCCCTCGCCCGCCTCCCTGAGAAAAAGAAAAGAAAATTAAAAGCAACCAGCCAGCCTTGGCGGCAATCGGGGGGCAGCGCGGTCGCTGCGAGCTGCGGTTTTTTGCTCGTTCGCTTCATCGTGTGCCACTTCCCAAGAGTGAAAATAAAACAAGAGCCAGCGCTAGGGCACGACCGTGACTCCCTGGAGACGGTGGCCTCAAAACAAGGCCGGGTGGCGTCACCGTCCCGAGCACGGCGACGGCGTCCACGCGACGTGCGGGGGGGCCCACTGGCCCGAGGACCCGATCCTCCGCTCACGCAATCTCCACCTTTCGCCGTCACATCACTCGTACGAGCCCCTGCCCGCGGCGATCCCGGTTTAATCGCAGAGCGATGCAGGGGCTCAGCTGAGCCAAAACTCCACGACCTCCGAGTCAGCCGGCCACCTCCGTTTATAAGAACTGCAATGCCGTGCATGGTAACGGCCCCGGCGGTTAATTTCCCATCGCCACCAACCGTGCGATCGTAGCCGAGGGACGGGAGTCCCCTGCCCCTGTAGCGTCACGGCGCACGGCCGGCGCGGTACGAGCGGTGCACGCGCAACGAGCGAGCGACGTGCGGCGTGGGGTCACGCGTGGGGTCACGCGTGGGGTGATGCGTGGGGTCACGTGTGGGGTCGGTGGGGTCGGTGGGACCGCGTTTTCCCCGGAGGTGGTGTACACTAAAAAAAATACGGCACGAGCGGTGGCGTGCGGTTGCTGCCTTCGTCACCGGGCTGGGTCCCCCCCATCTGTTACTAATTGCTTTGTTTCTGTAAATGTGCTCGTTGGCCTAACCCAGAAATGGCACGATAATTAGCCCCGGCCGTGCCTAGAATCCATCCCGTGTCTCCCGCTGATGGTGCCTGCGCCGCGCGCCTTTGATCAACACAGGCCGCGCTAATTATTTACAACGCAACCGCCAATTAATTGTTCAAGGCTCATTACGATTAAATTAGAGAAGTAATTAGGCATGCCAGCCTTGTTTTGGGCCGCAGTGCGGTGCTTACCAAAGCCATTACCATCGCCTTTGATGTGGAAATAACGCATGCCACAGGAATTTCAATCAGACCCGCGCCGTGGTGACATCATTACCCAGGGGGAGGAGAGCGAGGCCGGCGGTGGCACAGGCTAGAGCCCCCCCCACCCCCAAAACGCGCTGCACGGCACAGCAGCCGCCACCGCGTGGCACGGGGCAAGCTGCACAATGACCACCACCGCAATTTCGCTGTGCTACAAAAACGCAGCTGGATAAGCATCGAGCGGCACAGGAAGCGAGTGTCAGCATCGCACCGACGTAACGTACGGTGGCCGCCCCCAAGCGCACGGCCATCCCAACGCACAGTGCCGGAAGAACCCAACTCCGAGCTATGGAACCAACTCGCAGTACACGGTACCGGATCTAACACGCAGCTCTGGACCCAACACACTACGGACCCAACACACGGTACCGGATCTAACACGCAGCTCTGGACCTAACACACAGATCTGAACCCAACACACTACGGACCCAACACACGGCACCGGATCTAACACTCAGCTCTGGACCTAACACACAGATCTGAACCCAACACACTACGGACCCAACACACGGCACCGGATCTAACACTCAGCTCTGGACCCAACACACAGCACCGGACCCAACACACGGCACCGCTCCCCGTCGACCCGGCCCCCACTCCGGCCCCACCGCATGAGGGCGGGCCGCCGTTGGGTACATGCACAGAGTGCTCATGCTGCAGCAGAGCAGTGCGGCCGCGCGCCCACCGCTCTTCCCCCTAAGAGGTGCGAGCAGTAATAATAACAACAACAACGACGGGGCAGTCGATGCGTCACGCCGTTCGTGTTCACGCCGCCGTTAATCGTGGCGCGGGGGGCTGCACGCCGCCCCACGATGTGCTGAACAAGAGCTTTCCGCTAAAGTGACCGTGCCGGAAAGCGCAAAATGCAATAAATAAATAAATAAATCCGGCGCTCCAGTCGATCGGCGGGTATCGACCGGCACCACATTAAGCTGCTCCGGCGTGGAGTGCGCGAGAATCTCGCCGTGATGAAGGTGGTAGCGGACCGGACCGCTACCACCTCGGCGTGCATCACGATGTCTGACGATGAATAATCATAATGACGATGATGACGATGATGACGCTGCTGCTGCTGCCCTTTGTTTCCTCACCGCCCCCCCCATCCAGCAAAGCCTCTCTTGGAGGGCCTGCGTCGGGATGTTTCGCCAATTCCATGACCGAGTGCTTTGGCTTCGTGAGCGAGGAAACGCGAGAACCTGGAGAAACCCCACACAACACCGGGAGCTCTGCACGGTCACTTTCACGATTGCTGTAACCGCTATCTCCTGGGCACCTGGCAACACGCGGCTATAATACAACACACGACAAGCCCTGGAGGTCACCCATCCAAGTCCTTATTCCTAACCAGGCTTAAAACCTGCATGGTTTTTGACATCTATTACACTGGAGGAATCCGATGAGCAATAAAGCTCTTTCTCGCAGATGTCCAGATCTTCTCAGGGAGGCAAACACCACGCCGCCACCGCCGGCAGCAACAGCGGCACCAGGAGGGCACTTTCAGGATTAGAACGCCGGCAGACCGAGGACGGCACCACGTTCACAAATCCGTAAACGTGACTCACCCCGCAGGCTATGCGTTTTGGGCCACATTGCTATCCTGCCTGGTGGGTGACGAAACAAAAACCAAACCCCACCGCGGGCACCAAACGGAGGGCACGGGACCGAGGGCACGGGACCGAGGGCACGAGATCGAGGGCAAGACTCCTGCGGGGGGGGACGAGGCGGGCAGATGACGCCCGGTCGCTGGTCGACGTTGGCGATCGCCAAATCTCGCCGCGCCACCCGGGGACAAGATAATAATAAAGATACAAACACGTGTGCCCAGTCCACCTGGCACCGGGTCAGGAATTATGTATTGTCATTAGCGGCAGGGTGGCGGTGGCAGAGGAGAAGGGAACGTGGTTTATTTGGCACGGTCAAGGACGATCGATGTGCGGCGGCGGCGGCGTTATTACTGTCATTACCCCCTTGTTCTTGTTGTGCCGATGGTGGCGAGGATTATAAAAAAAAAATATTCATAGCCGGTAACGAGAGCTGGCCATGGCGTGCGTGCCTCGGTTCTCGCCAAGGCTTGGCCGGGCACGCGCTTAAGCGAGCCCCCGTTGCCCAACTTGGGACCGAACCCCTGGCAAAATTTTACTTTTGAAAAACCCCCTCCCCCCGCCTCCCCACCCCGCCAGCACCACCCCTCCCCCACCAGAAGATCCCCGAGCCAAATCCCCGTCCCAGGAATGAGTGCAGCGCGAGGCGTGCGGGGCGCCACGGGGGCCGGCAGCGCCGTCACGGTGCCGTGCGTTCGCGACGGCGGGGGAGGGGAGTCCTCGGCTTCACACGCACGGCGTCCCCTGCCGCAAACGACGAGTCGCTCAATGACAATTTACGCTTCAGAATTAAAGAGCACCATATTTCTTCTGTTCTGCGATAGATAAATGGCGTGTGTTGACTGTGTGCGTGTGTTGACTGTGTGTGCGTTACCGATGTGTGCGTCAACTGCGAACTGTGTGTGTTAACTGTGTGTGTGTTAACTGTGAGCGTGTTAACTCTGTGTATGTATTAACTGCATCCCACTGGGATTTTTTTGCACACAGTGTTGGTGTACGGTGCTTTTTTTCAGGAATATTTTTGCTGTTTTTTTTTCCATGGATTTTCTGTTTGCACAGTCACATAGTCACTTTAAGATGTTTTTCTTGTTCGTGTTTTTGTTTCTTGTGGTTGCACCCGATTCAAGAGCCGAATGGCTCACAGGGCTATACCAAAATAAACTGAACTGAAACTGAACTGTGTGTTGCCCGTGCATGATAACTAAAAGGGAAAAAAATCAACTGCCCTAGAAATCTGAAAGTTTGGAGAAAACTCAAAGAGAAATTTGGACAAGGCGCTGACGGCAAGCGCACCGCTCACCAGCACGGGCCCCGGGCGAGGTCCACGAGAGCCCTCACGGCGACTGATCTCTCTCGTGCTCGGAGCGGCATTCTAGCGACGCTGAGCGAGCGTTACGAGGAGTGCGACAGAGAGTTCCTCCGGGGCGTGCATCGAGAGGGCCCGAGGAGCAAGTCGGCAGTGTCGTGGAGCTCCCTCGTTGTGCCTTTCTCCACGAGGATACAGACTTCTCAATCGCGGACGCGCTCAGTTGTCACCGCGCGAGCTCGCCCAGGGACAGCCTCACCGAGTCTCAAGTGCGCGCCACTGTGGCGAGATGTTGACTACCTCGCCTGGTATACACCAGAGCGTGGGTTCCATCCCAACCCTGGCACCTGTGTATTTGTAGTTTGCGTGCATCTCTCTCTCTCTCCCCGTGGTCGGCGTGTATTTTTCTCCGGGTCCTCCGTTTTTTCCCTCCACATTGACAATCAACATCAAGCGTTTAGAGCATCTGACGTTATAATAAGTCACTTCGTTGAGCGACAATTATTTGTCACTTCTGAAAAAAGAGCCATAGAGCTTAGTGGGCCCTTACTAGCACTGTTACAGGAGGGTCCTGCTGCCAAGCGTGTGTTTCCAGCGGTTGACGGCGACGCGTGCTGCGTTTTTTTTCTCAATTGAGCATTTCCCAGGACACCCTCGGGGGGGAACGTGACGTTCCATCTCCAGGGATGGTGCAGGGTGGAATATTTCAACGGAGCGACAACAACAACAAACAACGAAAATAACAACTACGTCTTCGGTGAATCGGCAGCGGGCGGCGAGACAACTCACCTTTCGTGAGCGACGCGGTGTGGAAGAGCTTCTCCGAGCCGGCGTCCGAGGCCTGGCGTGACATCACACGGGAGACACGCACGCACACAGACACGACGGACGGTTAGTCGACGGCAACGCCGAGGCGGACGCAACACACGCACGCACGCGCGCAATCGTCACACGCAATCTACGACGGCGGAATTTTCTGCCGCGTCCGAAAAAATCGAGACGGCCGGGCGGCGGTCAGCGGGGGGAGGGAATCGTGCGGCACTGCTGCCGCTATCGGAGGAGGGAGGAGGCACGGAGGAAATCAACAGCTGCGGAGGCAAAAAAAAACCACGCAAACCAAACCAAAGGTCAGCAGGGCAATGGTAGTTCTATAAATAACAGCGCTGGTGGGGGAAAAAAAGTCAGAGGCGAGAAGCCGTGTGTTGGGGCTGCTGGACCGCGCGTCGGGTTTCTCCGCAAGGGGGCGCTACGACACAGCAGCAGCAGCGGCAGCAGCAACGGCAGACGTCGTCGGCTGCTCCCGGGCAACTCCCACCACGCCAACACCACCACGCGGCAGGCACTCTGCGAGCAGGACCCCCCCCGGGCCCCACCCCCCCCTCTTTGACACGCGGGTTCCACCAAATCATCCAACACCCTGACCGCTTTACTGAATTAACACAGACGCGCGTTCCGCTTTGGCGTTCGTGTGCTGCCACCCACGCCGCGTGCTACCGCGCCAGCCAGACCGCCGATCGGACAAACGACCCCGCACCCTCCTCGCTACGGCGCGAATCGCCAAAGGCTCTTGAGCGCGGTCACTCGCGGCCCTAATTTAGACACACGTACACACACAAACAACAACAAACAACCCTTCCCCACTAAGTGGCGGTGACGCCACCCCGGCGCTTGTGCCGTGCCAGGTGCGCTTTGAGGTCACGTGAAGTGCCGAAGGCTCGCTGCTGACAGGAGGTCACGGGGGCAGACCCAGGTGCCATGGGTCGACTGACTGAGACGACTGGCAGATGCACCACCTGTGCCCCCTCTACTGCGCCAACTTGCTGTGCTTCAGCTGCCCGGCGCTCCGCTCCAAAACACACACGCGCGCACACAAACACACACACACGCGCGTGCACACAAACACACACACGCACGTGCACACAAAACACACACGCGTGTCAGGTTTCACACGCGCAGAGCGCCCCACCGTTGCCGGCGGCGTGGAACATATTTGAGTGAGATGTACTTGGCGTTACAAAGTGTACTTTTTAAGGCATGTGCGACCCGCGCGTGTGCGTATTTTTTTTATTTTTGCGAAGTTGTGTCTTCGCCTCTCAGTGATGAGAGACAGCGGGAGGGGAGTGGAGGGATGGGGGTGGAGTGAGGGGGGGGCACAGAGCTCATAACCTCCCAATTTCTCCGCTCTCGCCTTGGGATTATCCCTCAATCAGACTGCTGGCACGGCGCTTTGATCCCGGCAGATTCTTGGCACCGGGGGCTACGCCTTTCTCAGAGGTAAACGCTCCGCACAAAACTCGCTGTAATTCCGTGGGGCTTTGATCGCAAGGCGCGTCCGCTCTCTCCCTCCCTCGCGCATGCGCGCGAGCGCCCGACGACCGCTAACAACAAAAAAACTAACCGCGGCACAAGCCTCCGATTCCTCCTCCAACCCCCTCTCCGCGAGGAGGGCCGCCGCCTTCGGCCTCGGGCCGGCGACACCGGTCGGACCGCGGCGCTCGCACGCGACGGCGGCGACCGTCGAACGGCTTTTTGGTCACAGAGGAAAACCCGTCACGTGGTAATGCAGTACGATATTAGTCCGAGTGCCATTGTCTTCTGACACAGTGAGGCCCGAAGAGAGAAGTCTACGCACGTGCACAAATGCGATTGGAGAGAAAATCGTTGCCGAGTAAAAAAAAAAGAAATACGCGCGAATCAAAATCGCACGCGAATCTTCCGCTCTGCCTCCGCCTCGGGAAATAACAAACTGTGGTCTCGACAAGTTCCCGTCGGATTCAACAGCGGGCGTCCACAGCGCGGAGACGGAGCGATGACATCTGGCTCGTGTGCAGCGGCGCGCCGACGGATCGTTGCGTCTCGAGATCGCCGCGAGCGGCGGAGGCATGTTTGGGGGGGAGGGGACTTCACCCAGCAGTGGATGGATCATGGCTGCTGCTGATGATGAGATCTGCTGTAAGGCACGGGACTGCTCCGTGCCGCTTGCTGGCGAGTTTTACCGGGGCTAGGTCTTCGGTGTGCCGTGGACTGAGATTCTGTACGCAAAGTTCATCTTACGCAGCGAGAGCAACTTGAACTCGTGATAGGGCGAGTTCCACTTTGCGGGAAGGGCACAAGCGATGATCCAGTGCTCCGTCACAGGAGCGTGGAACTACCGCCACCGAAGCAGAGTCAGCAATGGCGATTGAGCATCGTCCCCCATTGCGTCAGAGAAGCTGGGCTCACGCTTCGACTTGTCAAGCTGTTGTCAAGCTGTTGTTTGACACCCTCTCCATCCCGCCTGGCCACCATCTCCGCCTCGGCAAACAATCCGGGCTGTGTCAACAACAGCCTGGGCCCAACTTGACGATCACGTCGCGCGAAACTTGACGATCACGTTGCGCGAAACGTAACTCCCACGAAAAGGCACCACGAGCAGTCGTTTTCATCACGCAAGCACCGCGGCCAGACGTCGTCTCGGTGACTTTAAACGCACGCGTCTAAGAATAACCACTCGCGATCGTTCGCAATTACAGATTTAAAGTCAAAACCAAAACTTGGTGTGGGGCAGAAGAAGAGGCCATCAATCCATCGATGAACGAGACTGGTGATGGAATGGAAACCGCGCGGGCGGGGGGAGGGGAGAAACGCGCGCTTGGGAGCAGGGACGAAAACCAGCGTGGAGATGGAGCGGCGAAATCGGTTCTGGTGCAGCAAATGATGGATTTACGGAGGTGCCTTTCATCCAGCAGTGGACGATGACAGATCACCTCTCACAACGGAGGCTATTCGTTAGCAAACACTGTACAGTGCAATGCGCAACGTGTTGACCAGCACGCAGTGACAGTGCAAGTTTACACGTGCGTCCCGGTTACGCAACACCCGGGAGGTGGGGGGAGTGGTGGATGGGGAGTGGTGGGGGGAGCGCGCCGAGGAGGGAGGGGGGGCGTTAAGAGTCGGGGGGCAGGGAGGGAGGGTGCAAGGAGTGGGCATTCTCAGAACGGAGCCAGTAGATTCAGCTGTGCGTCTGGCGCAAGCTCAACAGGGGAGGAGGCATGGGGGGAGGAGGCATGGAGGGGGGGGGGGGTTCATTACCTCCAGCTGTTAATTATCCTCGCAAATTAACACCAAACGCCCGTGGGCTGCCACAAGGCATCCAAGAGAGCGAGCGAGCGAGCGTGCAGACAAATGCGCGGATAAACACAAAACGAGCACAGACTCATTACACACACACACGTACACAATGCACGTGTGTATGTGTGAATATACACACACACACGTACACACGCCCGTGTGTACGTGTGTGTGTGAATATATACACACCCGAGTCACACTTGCTAACGAATGAACGAGTGTGAAATGAACAAAACCCGATGGACACCCCGGTGAACATCACACGCGCAGGTGAACACGTGGCCGAATCACGCCTACGAACGCAGCCAAAACAACAACAACAACAACACGGCCATCGCACGCTTGCGAACAAAGGTTCCCCGTATAGCGTTAACGGACTGCTGGGGCAAGTGCTATTAGCGAGTAGCACCTATTAAGGCCAGCACAGCGCACGAGGGGTGGGTGGCCAGCACCACGCCCTGCCGCCTTTGTCTCCCCAGTGGCGATGTTTACACACCGCACCAGGTACTCATGTGAGGCTGAGTCGACCTAGGGGAGGCCCATACCAGGTTGAAATAATTTTAACCGGTTAGCCATGAGCGGGAATCGAACTTGGATCGCCGGGTTCGGAGCGCAGCGCTCCAACCGCTACGCCGCCGCTCCGCATTGCGTACACGCTTGCGACACACACGTGAACACACACACACACACACGTGAACACACACACACACGTGAACACACACACACACACGTGAACACACACACACACGTGAACACACACACACACGTGAACACACACACACGTGTGTGCATTACAACCGATCAACACTCGTTCATGTGCTTCCACCACACGTGAACACGTACGCCGTGGATCTCTGTGTGTGTGTGATCGTGTCTTGTAGGTGTTAACTGTGGAGGAGGAGGCTCGTGAAGGACGCTGCTGGTACTGGGCAGTTGGAGGCAGTCGCCCTCCAGCAACAACGGAGGGCGGAGGAGCGACGCTCACAACGAGCGGAGCGGATAAAACGCAGCAAGTTGGCACAGTAGGGGGTAGAGCTGGTGCGCATCTACCGGTCATCTCAGTCAGCCAACCCATGGCACCTGCTGGGTCTGTCCGAAGACCTCATGTCACAGCAGTGATCCTTCGATACTTCACGTGGCCTCAAAGTGCACCTAGCCTGGCACAGGCGCCGTGGTGACATCACCGTCACGGAGTGGCGAATGGTTGGAATTGGCACTTGAGCATGCGTATATATGTATGCCCATTTGGTTATTTAACTACTACGATTATATTACTAGTAACTCATTTTAATTCACCAGGAAAAGCCCACTGAGCTATGAGTTATTTTACAGAGGCGGCGACCTGGCCCACACGTGATGACAGCTCATCATCGAAGTGGCCGATTTCATCATCATCATCACACACACGTGGGAATTCATAGCAGCAGTCAAATCATCTAAAACGGCGCGCGTTGATTCTAAATGTGGAGGGGGAAGGGGGAAAAACCGGGGGAGGAAGACGGATAAATAAAATCCACGCGACCACCACGGGGAGAGAGAGAGAGAGCACGCGGACTCCAAACACACTCCAGGCATGGCCAGGGGGCCGGGATCGAACCCACGCAGCCTCGTGCGTGCTGTGTATATCTGTAGCTAACAGCACTTGCCCCAACAGTACGGGAAGGCTATACGGGGGATCTTTGGCATTAATGTGATTGTGTGTGTGTTAACACTTGTCCATGCAGCCAGTATGGTTTCATTGAGACCAGTGTGTGGGTGTGTCTGTAAAACGCTTGTCCTCACAGCCTGTGTAGGTAGATTGGGATATGTGTAGGTGCTCGAGAACAGCACTTGCCCCAGCAGTCTGTTAAGGCTATATGGGGGATCTTTGTCTTTGTGTCGGTGCTCGAGAACAGCACTTGCCCCAGCAGTCTGTTAAGGCTATACGGGGGATCTTTGTTTTGGTCTTTGTTTCGTGTGTGTGTATAATGAGTCGCTGGTGTTGCGGTGTGTGGTAAACATCGTCACTGGGGAGACAAAGGTGGCGGGGCGTGGTGCTGGCTACCCCACCCCCTCGTGTGCCGTGGCGACCTTCATAGGTGCTTCTCGCTAACAACACTTGCCCCAGCAGTCTGCTAAGGCTATACGGGGGGGGGGATCCTTTGTCTTTGTTTCGTGTGTGTGCGTGTGTCCTGACGGGGGGGGGGGTCTGCTCACAACCTACAATCCTCACCCATCAGCGGCGGGCGCGAGATAACAGACAACGCGGACGCTTCAATTGCGACCTGCGTGCACGCACGGGCGGGGGGGGGGGGCTTTTCATCCAATGAGACACGCACCGACAGCTCCTGCCACAAACCCACACAACTGGAACTGATTTTTATCAGCGCTGGGGAGATGGGGAGGGGAGCGAGGGGAGGGGCAGAGCTGGGCTGGGTGATGGCTCGTGATGAGGGGCTGGGTAAGCGGGTGCGTGCTCTGGGGAGTGCTCTGGGGGTGTGCTCTGGGGAGTGCTCTGGGGTGTGCTCTGGGGAGTGCTCTGGGGGTGTGCTCTGGGGTGTGCTCTGTGGTGTGCTCTGGGGTGTGCTCTCGGGGAGTGCTCTGGGGTGTGCTCTGGGGGTGTGCTCTGGGGGGTGCTCTGGGGTGTGCTCTTGGGGAGTGCTCTGGGGTGTGCTCTGGGGTGTGCTGTGGGGGTGTGCTCTGGGGTGTGCTCTGGGGTGTGCTCCTAGCTGGGTGGCCCACGTGTGCTCTGGCCACGTGTGTGCTGGCCACCTTGCTGGCCCCTGGCAGGAGGATTTAAATTCGCTCGCGATCGTTGGAACTATAAATACTGGGACAATAACGTGGCCCCCACACAAAACATCGAAGAGGCAAATAGATTGCGATGAGAGGGGACAGCGAGCAGTGTGGCGGTGGAGAACGCCAGCCAGGCAATTGGCAATCTCTACCCCTGGCCAGCAGGACAACTATGAGTTCTCTCTATCAGTCTATCCCTAGACAACTTGCCACTCGTACCTACCCTAACCATCACCAACTATCTACTAGGAGTAGCCCTTTCCACTGCCCATAACCATCACCAACTATCCACTTGTACAAGCCCTTTCCACTGGCCATAACCATCACCAACTATCCACGAGGAGTAGCCCTTTCCACTGGCCATAACCATCACCAACTATCCACTAGTACTAGCCCTTTCCACTGGCCATAACCATCACCAACTCTCCACGAGGAGTAGCCCTTTCCACTGGCCATAACAATCACCAACTATCCACTAGTACTAGCCCTTTCCACTGCCCATAACCATCACCAACTATCCACTAGGAGTGGCCTTTTCCACTGCCAATAACCATCCCCAATTATCCACGAGGAGTAGCCCTTTCCACTGGCCATAACCATCACCAACTATCCACTAGTACTAGCCCTTTCCACTGCCCATAACCATCACCAACTATCCACGAGGAGTAGCCCTTTCCACTGGCCATAACAATCACCAATTATCCACTAGGAGTGGCCTTTTCCACTGCCAATAACCATCACCAACTATCCACGAGGAGTAGCCCTTTCCATGGGCCATAACAATCACCAACTATCCACTAGTACAAGCCCTTTCCACGGACGCTAACCGTACCCCCACCTCCACGAGGCCACTCGTGTCCCCCCTTTTCATTCCATTCGCTTGCAAGTTTTTGGGTTGCTCACAGCAGTCACACATTTCACCTTGCAATGCTGCACCTCCCCAAAAACAAACAGCTCTTTATCTCCGCCGCACACACGCACTGCACGCCTACATCCTACACACACAACTACCGAGGACAGAGGTCACAACCACATACACCGTATCCCAGTGCCCCAGATGATGCGACGGAACGTCATTTGCACCTCCGGTTAGCACGGTCGGTCACGTACAGTGCCAAAGAAGTCGAACATGCGTAGACATAGAGGCAGACGAGGGCACGTGGGTAGTATTACCGGGGTTCAGTGTGACCGGCCAAGGCTCGCACACAGCCATGAGGAAGAGGCAAGTTTGTTGTCCTTCCCCCACATCTCCGATTAGCACGGTTGGCTACGTACGGTGCGAAAGAAGTTCAACGTACGTGCTTGCGTGATGTT